TGTATTTGATTCCCCATGATTTAATCCCACCCCTCTCCCGAACACCCTAGCATTTACTCCTTTTGCAACCCCATCTGTTAAGTTCGTGCTCCCAACCAATAACTTCATACCTGTTTAATTCCATAAGTATTACTTCATATTTTTCACTTTTAGAAAAAGATTCTCTACCATTTAGAAGATAAAATAATTAAAATTTTTTTTCAAGCTTGTGGACAAAGAAGAGGTGTGAACAGTTTAAATGTTAAGGGTTACATGCATTCATTACCATCATCATCTGTAACTTATTTCCAGTTTTACAGACTGGAAAGACACCAACTAGAAAAGAAAGATATACTCTGGAGGGGAAGAGAGAGAAAGAGAGGATAATATCTTCTACCTATATTTAGAGTAATATTTCATGTACTACTAGCAAAATTGTAATATTATTTTATTTGCTACCTGTAAATAACAAAGACATCTCTCCCTCCTTGCCACCCTCCCCCCCCCACCCACAAAAAAAGTTTTAAAACCACAACTTATTGTAAGCATTACACTGACCTTTGATGAGCATTAATAGTAATGCCATTTTGTGAGGATATAGATCCTGAACGTTGACTCTTTGGTTTGTGATGGGAGTGAGGACTGGGAGAACCGAGTTGTTCCCACCCATTCTCAACCTTTACTCTCACTTCTCCAATGCTCTGCTGCTGCTGGTTCTGTTCTATTTGTTCCTCAGCTTGTTGTTCTAACTGTTGATGCTGCTGTTTCTGCTGATGCAAAATTCCACACTGCTGAATACCATTCTCAAGAATTTTATTTTTTAAAGGTTCATGATGGATCACTTGCTGCTGCAACAATTGTTGCTGTTGTTGTTGTAATGTTTGCAAATGATGGAGCTGCTGGATATGACTCTGCAACTGTTGTTGTTGTTGCTGTTGTTTCTTGTTATGAATATGTTGTTGCAATATTAGTTTTTGATTTAGCTTGTTATCAGAAATATTTTTGCGCTGCTGCTCCTGGGCTTTGATGATATTTTGCTGTTGTTGTAACTGTAGCTGCATTTGTGTATGATGTAGTTCCCTCTGCAGTTCCTCTATTCTTCTTTGTAGTTGCACCATAGTTTCATTAGACACAAGTGAGTTGTTGGAGGTTTGCGAGGTGGAATGACGTGTCATTAATACTTGATTGGGTGTAGTGGTCACCGCCTGGCTAGTAGCTGGCACCAGCACACTACCAATGGGAATACAAGAACTAGTAGAGAAATTTTGTGTGGGTGGTGGTGGTGGTGGAGGTGGTGGTGGTGGAGGTGGTGGAGTGTTTATGGATCCTCCATCACTGATATGAAGACTGAGAGGAGTAAGAGCACCACTAGGTGTCAGAGGTGTAAAGTCATTTGTATCCATTGCAGAATCAAAATCTACATCCATAGGAGCCACACTTGGGGGACGTGTAGATGATGCCGAGATATGAGAGTATGTAGGAGATGATGCACTATCATCTCCAAAATCCATTGATGCTTCCAGTAACCCTTGAACTGTAATGACAACATTTAATTATTGAAAATATTTACTCTAGAGTCAACTTAATTTAAAAATATTCAATTTGATTAATTTCATAAAAAAAAAGAGAAAAAATAGTTTACCTGAGGAGTCGTCTGTATAGTTGAATGTTGAATTTGTTGGTGTGGGAGTTGGTGAGGACTCTTGCAGGTGAGACACAGACAAGCCACAATTGCCAGTGGAGTCAGTTTGGGTTGAACTTGTTTTTTCTTCACTGTCCAACACTGCAGGTACATTAACTGTTTCTCTCTCTACACTCCCTAATCTCATTGTAACACAGGTATTCTTACTGTTAAGACTGCTACCATTACTAATGCTGTTATTACTATTCAAACTCGTGATGATAGCAGCAGAGTTTTGGGCAGCATGATTTTTTAATCTTTCTATTAACTGTGGTTTTGAACCAGATACTGGTAAGTTTCGTTTCTTCAGCTCTGCTTTCAGATCCGAGACTAAAAATAAGAAGAAAATGACTTTAATTACACAAAAACCTTTTCTGTGATGAAGAGAAAGAGATGATAAAGAAGTGGAATAAGTTTAAAGTAAAACACTAGGGTTTAAAACTGGATATAATAGTTAATTCACATCAGTCTGTAAAAAGTCAAGAACCAAAATTAAGAGTATGAAATCACCCCTGTAAATTCAAACACATCCTCATGCCCCTGAAGGACTGGTGGGAACGTTGCAGAGGGTCATTTCAATTGTGATGCCTGCACACATCTGGCAAGATAGCTATTGAATGAATGATGGTGAATGCATTCATCTTTTTGGGATGGCTACCCTAAAATGGTGGAAAACAGCAGGTGTTAAATAAAAATGTGGCAGGAAAATAGGTCTTCTTCTTTCTTTCAACACACCGGCCGTATCCCACTGAGGCAGGGTGGCCCAAAAGGACAAACGAAAGTTTCTCCTTTTACATTTAGTAATATATACAGGAGAAGAGGTTACTAGCTCCTTGCTCCCGGCATTTTAGTCGCCTCTTACAACACGCATGGCTTACGGAGGAAGAATTCTGTTCCACTTCCCCATGGAGATAGGAGGAAATAAACAAGAATAAGAACTAGAAAGAAAATAGAGGAAAACCCAGAGAGGTGTGTATATATGTGCTTGTACATGTATGTGTAGTGTGACCTAAGTGCAAGTAGAAGTAGCAGGACATACCTGAAATCTTACATGTTTATGAGACAGACAAAAGACACCAGCAATCCTACCATCATGTAAAACAATTACAGGTTTTCGTTGTACACTCACTTGGCAGGACGGTAGTACCTCCCTGGATGGTTGCTGTCTACCAACCTACTACCTAAAAGGAAAATAGGTAATATAAATAAATAAATTCAAGGATTATGTGGATTAAAACAAGGGTCGGATGCAAAAAGTGGGTTATACTAAGTGCTTATGTACCTGGAAGAGACAGAGAAAAAGAATTTTTTTCAGGAGATGTTAAGCAAGTGTTTAAGGAGTTTTGAACCAAGTGAGAGAGTAACTGGTGGGGTACCTAAATGCTAAAGTGGGAGGAAATGTTGTAGAGTAATTAGTGGGTAAGTTTGGGGTGCCAGGGTAAATGATAATGGGGGCCTTTGATTGAACTTTGTATGGACAGAGGTTTGGTAATAGGTAATACATATTTTAAGAAAAAGAGGATAGATAAGTATATGAGATATGATACTGGGTGCAATGGCAACAGTCTGTAGGATTACATATTGGTGGAGAAGAACTGGAAATGAAGTGGAACAGCATTCTTCCTCCGTAAGCCATGAATGTTGTAAGAAGTGATTAAAATGCTGGGAGCAAGGGGCTAGTAACCCCTTCTCCTGTATAAATTACTAAAATTTAAAAAGGAAAAACTTTCGTTTCTTTTTCCTTTTTAGGTCACCCTGCCTCAGTGGGATACAGTCTTCTTGATGGAAAAAAAAAGTTGATGGGTAGACTTATGGATGTGCATGTTTCTAAAGGGGCAACAGATATATCAGATCATTACACAGTAAGAGTAAGAGTAGATGGGTCACAACTGAGAATGGCAACAGTATGAGAGACAAAAGGAGGATGTAGTTAGGGTAAGATATAAGCAACTACTGATAGAACAATGGGAAAGTGAGAGTATAGGTAATAAGGAGGTTGAAGGGGTATGGGGTAGATTAAAAAATGCATTGTTGGAGTGTGAAGTGGAAGTTTGTGGATATAACAGGGTGGGTGGGTGCAGGAGGGAAGAGGAGAATTGGTGGAATGATGAGGTAAAAATAGTAGTAAGGAAGAAAAGGTTAGCATATGAGAAGTTTTTACAAAACAGAAGTGATACAAGGAGGATGGAATATAAGGAAAGTAAAAGAGGTTAAGAGAGTGGTGAGGGAGCATAAAAGCAGATCAAATGCGAGTGGGTGAGGTTCTATCAATAAATTTTGCTGAGACTAAGAAAAAGGTTTAGAATGAGAATAATAGGTTGAGGAAGCCAATGGAACAAATGGATTTAACAGGGTTTGTTGTTAATATTAATCCGATTAAAGCAGCAAATCTAATGTAGTATAGTGCAATTTTTTGATAATAGAAGACAGAAATAGAGAGAAATGCACTGAGAATAATATATGATAAAAACAGAAGAGGAGAGTCATTAGATGGGGAGTTGGAAGTATTGGGAAGATAGCAAGAATATTTTAAGAAGCTGTTAAATGTTGGTGAAGGGAGGCAGTGATTTCATGCACTGACCAGGGAGATATAACATCATTTAGGAGTGAGGAAGAGCCAGCTGTGAGAGTGGGGGAGGTGTGTGACAGTGGATAAAATGAAAAGGGTTAAAGCAGCTCGGATTGATGGGATCAAGACAGAAACATTAAAAGCAGGTGGGGATATAGCTTTAGAGTGGTTGGTACTTTTGTTTAATATATGTATGAAAGAGGTGTGATGAATGGTTTGAAAAACCGATAAGTTGAAGATTGAGACACTTATGCAGCATATGGGAATCTTTATTCAGGAAATGTTTCGCCACACAGTGGCTTCATCAGTCCAATACAAAGAGGAAGGCGTAAGGAGAGGAGGAGTATGAGGTAATCAGTCCCTCAACCTGGAGTCGATGTGTTCAGTCCATCAATCTACAAGATTGATGGACTGAACACATCGACTCCAGGTTGAGGGACTGATTACCTCATACTCCTCCTCTCCTTATGCCTTCCTCTTTGTATTGGACTGATGAAGTCACTGTGTGGCAAAACGTTTCCTGAATAAAGTTTCCCATATGCTGCATAAGTGTCTCAATCTTCAACATGTATGAAAGAGGGATGGATTTATGAAGGATGAGGTTAATCTTAGAACTGATGAAGGAAAAAAGGTGAGTGGTGCATTGAGGTATATGTGGAGGCAAAAAATGTTATCTATGGAGGCAAAGAAGGGAATGTATGAAAGTATAATAGTACCAACACTCTTATATGGGTGTGAAGCTTGTATTGTAAATGCTGCAGCAAGGAGGCGGTTGGAGGCAGTGGAGATGTCCTGTCTAAGAGCAATGTGTGGTGTAAATATTATGCAGAAAATTCGGAGTGTGGAAATTAGGAGAAGGTGTGGAGTTAATAAAAGTATTAGTCAGAGGGCTGAAGAGGGTTTGTTGAGGTGGTTTGGTCATTTAGAGAAGATGGATCAAAGTAGAATGACATGAAGAGTGTATAATTCTGTAGGGGAAGGAAGGCGGGGTAGGGGTCGTCCTCGAAAAGGTTGGAGGGAGGGGCTAAAGGAGGTGTTGTGGGTGAGGGTTTGGGCTTCCAGCAAGCGTGCGTGAGCGTGTTAGAAAGGAGTGAATGGAGACAAATGGTATTTGGGACCTGACAATCTGTTAGTGTGTGAGCAGGGTAATATTTAGTGAAGGGATTCAGGGTAACCGGTTATTTTATATAACCGGACTTGAGTCCTGGAAATGGGAAGTACAATGCCTGCACTCTAAAGGAGGGGTTTGGGATATTGGCAGTTTGGAGAGATATATTGTGTATTTTTATACGTATATACTTCTAAACTGTTGTATTCTGGGCACCTTTGCAAAAACAGTGATTATGTGTGAGTGAGGTGAAAGTGTTGAATGATGATGAAAGTATTTTCTTTCTCTTTGGGTCACCCTGCCTCGGTGGGAGATGGCTGACTTGTTGGAAAAAAAAAAAAAAAGGAGGGAATGTTATCTAGGGATTGGGAGAAAGCAGAGGGGGACAAAAGAGTAAAAATTATATGGAAATAAGCCTACTGAATTCTCCATGGGGAAGTGGAATAAAGTTCTTCCTCTGTAAGCCATGTGTGTTGTAAGAGGCGACTAAAAATAGGAACTTTTGTTTTTCTTTTTGGGCCACTCTACTTCAGTGAGATATGGCCAGTTTGTTGAAAGAAGAAGCCTGCTGAGTATACCTGGTAAAGTGTATGGTAGATTTATTATTGACAGAATTAAGGGTATGACTGAAAGCTGGACTGCAGATGAACAAGAAGGCTTTTGAAAAGGTAGGGGATGTATAGATCAAGAGTTTACATTGAAGCATATAAGTAAACAGTATCTAGATAAAGGTAAGGAAGTTTTCATTGCATTCATGGATTTAGAAAAAAACATATGATTGGGTGGATAGGAGCAATATGGCAGATGTTGCAAGAGTATGGAATAAGTGGTAGATTACTGAAAGCAGTTAAGAGTTTTTACGAGGATAGTGGGGCTCAGGTTAGGGTACAGAGGAAAGAGAGATTATTTTCCAGTAAAAGTAGGCCTTAGACAGGGATGCATGATGTTACCATGGCTGTTTAACATATACATCGATGGGGTTGTAAAAGAAGTGAATGGTGAATGCTAGTGTGTTGGGAGGAGGTGAGGGATTCAAATGTATAGAATCTAATACAACGTGGGAGTTGTCACAGTTGCTTTTTGGCAATGACACTGTGTTTTGGGAAGATTCTGAAGAGAAGTTACAGAGGTTGGTAGACGAATTTGGGAGGGAATGTAAAAGAAGGAAACTGAAAATGAATACAGGCAGGCCCACCTTTACAGCACTTCGCTTTATGGCATTTTGCCAATGCAATGATTTTCAGTTATACCCATTCTTCATTTATTCAGACTTCCTACAATGAATATATTCACCACTCACTATAAGGTAAGGACAAAAAGATTTTAAGGGTGTGTAAAATAAGAAAGTGGAAAGTGAACATAGATAAGAGTAAAGTGATAGATGTATCAAATGAATTAGGTGAAGAAAAACTGGATATCAGATTGGAGGGAGGGAGTATGGAAGAAGTGAATGTGTTCAGATATTTGGGAGTAGAACTGTCAGTGGATGGGTTTATGAAGGATGAAGCAACCATAGAACTGATGAAGGAAAAAAAGTGTGTGGTGCATTGAGGTATCTGTGGAGACAAAGAACATTACCTATGGAGGTAAAGAAGAAAATGTATGAGAGTATAGTGGTATCAACACTCTTATAAGGGTGTGAAGCATGGGCTTTGAATGTTGCAGCAAGGAGGTGGCTGAACACAGTTGAGATGTAGTGTCTAAGGGCAATGTGTGGCGTAAACATTATGCAGAGAATCTGTAGTGTGGAAATTAGATGTTGAGTTACTAAAAGGGTTGAGGAGGGATTGTTGAAGTGATTTGGTCATTTAGACAGGATGGAGCAAAATAGGATTATTTGGAGGGTGTATAAATTTGGACTGAAGGGAAGGAGGGGTAGGGGTCATCCAAGGAAGGGATGGAGGGATGGGGTAAAAGAGGTTTTGTGTGCAAGGGGCTCGGACATACAGCACGCGTGTGTGAGCATGTTAGATAGGAGTGGAGACAAATGGTGTTTGGGATTTGACTAGATGTTGGAGTGTGAGCAAGGAAATATTTTGTCAAGGGATTCAGGCAAGCCAGTTAACTGGAGGTGTGAAGTACAATGCCTGCACTTTCAAGGAGGGGTTATGGGATATTTGATGTTTAGAGTGACATCTAAACTGTCTTATCAGCACACCTCTGCAAGGACAGTGATAGTATGCATGATGGTGAGTTTCTTTTTTTTTCTAGATTACGATGCCTCCGTGGGAGATGACTAGCACGTTAAACAAAAAATAAAGTAATATGTGTACTGTATATCCTAGGTAGTAGGTTGGTAGACAGCAACTGCCCAGGGAGGTACTACCGTCCTTCCAAGTGGGTGTAAAACAGAAGCCTGTAATTGTTGTACATGATGGTAGGATTGCTGGTGTCTTTTTTCTGTCTCAGAAACATGTGAGATTTCAGGTACGTCTTGCAATTTCTACTTACACTTAGGTCACACTACACATGCATGTACAAGCATATATTTACAACATACACCCCTCTGAGCTTTCTTCTCTTTTCTTACTAGTTGTTGTTTGTATTTATTTCCTCTCATCTCCGTGGGGAAGTGGAACAGAATTCTTCCTCCATAAGCCATGCGTGTTGTAAGAGGTGACTAAATTGCTGGGAGCAAGGAGCTAGTAACCCTTTCTCCTGTATATATTACTAAATTTATAAAGAGAAACTTTCATTTTTCTTTTTGGACCACTCTGCCTCAGTGGGATACGGCCGGTGCATTGAAAGAAAGAAAGAAGTGTACTGTATGTGCATTTTTAAACCTAGCTCTATTGCTAACTTAGTATATGATAGTGTAAACATGTTATCAGGCTTGTATATGTATTTGAAAGTAAAAATAAAGTCTATGTTTCACTTTACAGTGGTAGCCTGGAACCTAACCTGTTGTGTAAGTGAGGTCTGCCTGCATAGGAAAGACCAGGTGATGAAGGTAATAAAAAAATTAAGTTAATGAAAGATTGGATATCAGATTGGAAGGAGGGAGCACGGAGTACAAAGGAAGTGTATGTGTATAAATCTGTAGTGGAGAGAAGGTAGGGTAGGGGTTGACCTAAGAAAGGCTAGGGGGAGGGGGTAAAGGAAGGTTTGTGTGTGGGGAGGGCTTGGACATTCAGCAGGTATATTAGATAGGAATGAGTGGAGACAAATGGCTTTTATGACTTGACGAGCTGTTGAAGTGAGAGCAAGGTAACATTTAAGAAGGGATTCAGGAACACAGACAGCTGGACTTGAGTCCTGGAGGTGGGAAGTACAGTGCCTGCACTCTGACAGAGGGGTGGGGATATTTGTAGTTAAGAGGGGCATCAGAATTGTAGTACTGGCATGCCTCTGGCAAGAGTGATAGTGTGAATGATGGTGAAAGCTTTACTTCTTTTTTTGGGTCACACTACCTTGGTGGGAGATGGCCAGTGTGTTAAAATAATATTTAAACATTCATTATCCTACTTGAGTCATACTGTACTAATATCAGTTTCATTGGCATCAGGTATGATACACGATAAGAGTGATTTTCTTAAAAAACATTACATTTTGATAAGTGTAGTACTCATACAGCCTATAGTATGCAGAAAATTTTGGACTGAATTAAAACTAATAAAGAAACTCAAAGTACAGATATAATCATGTAATGTGTAAAGTTTTGAGCAGTACTAAGGCTAACAGACATTCAGGTAAGATTACACATATTAACAACAATGGCACTTAATATAATGATAAAACTAATACAAAAAACTAACCTAAAAAGCTGATATATCAATAATAAAGGAACTAAGTATAATAAAACTAGTCTTAAAAATCACAAGGGAAATCGATATAAAGGCATGAAATATAATAATAAAACTACAGTAATAATAACAAAATGTGTATTTGTTTCACCCAACAACTGTACCAGACCTTGTGTGGACAGGAAGGGAGGGAGGGAGGGGGGAGGGGAGGGAGGAGGGAGGGAGGGAGGGAGGGAGGGAGGGAGGGATGGGAGGAAGGGAGGGAGGGAGGGAAGGAGGGAGGGAGGGAGGGAGGGAGGGAGGGAGGGAGGGAGGGAGGGAGGGAGGGAGGGAGGGAGGGATGGAGGAAGGGAGGGAGGGGGAGGGAGGGAGGGAGGGAGGGAGGGGAGGGAGGGAGGGAGGGAGGGAGGGAGGGAGGGAGGGATGGAGAGGGAGGGATGGAGGATGAGGGAGGGAGGGAGGAATGGAGGGAGGGAGGGAGGTGGAGGGAGGGAATGGAGGGAGGGAGGGAGGGAGGGAGGATTGGGAGGGAGGAAGGGAGGAATGGAGGGAGGGAGGGAGGAATGGAGGGGGGAGGAATGGAGGGGGGAGGGAGGGAGGGGAGGAGGATGGGAGGGTAGGGGAGGGATGGAGGGGGAGGGAGGGAGGGAGGAATGGAGGGAGGGAGGGAGGAATGGAGGGAGGGGGAAGGGGGAGGAATGGAGGGAGGGAGGGTGAGGAATGGAGGGAGGAATGGAGGGAGGAAGGAGGAGAAGGAGGGAGGAAGGAGGGAGGGAGGGGAGGGAGGGAGGGATGGAGGGAGGGAGGAATGGGGGAGAGGGAGGGAGGGAGGAATGGAGGGAGGGGAGGATGGAGGGAGGGAGGGAGTGAGGGAGGAGGGAGGGGGAGGGAGGGAGGGAGGAATGGAGGGAGGGAGGAATGGGGGAGGGAGGGATGGAGGAGGAGGGAGGAATAGGAGGGAGGGAGGGAGGAATGGAGGGAGGGAGGGAGGAATGGGAGGGAGGGAGGAATGGGAGGGAGGGAGGGAGGAATGGAGGGAGGGAGGAGGAATGGGAGGAGGAGAGGAGAGGAGGGAGGGGAGGAATGGAGGGAGGGAGGGAGGGAGGAATGGAGGGAGGGAGGAATGGAGGGAGGGAGGGATGGAGGGAGGGAGGGAGGAATGGAGGGAGGGAGGGGAGGGAGGAGAATGGAGGAGGGAGGGAGGGAGGAATGGAGGGAGGGAGGAATGGAGGAGGGAGGGAGGAATGGAGGGGGGAGGGGGAATGGAGGGAGGGAGGGAAGGAATGGAGGGAGGGAGGGAGGAAGGAGGGAGGGAGGGAGGGAGGAATGGGAGGGAGGGAGGGAGGGAATGGAGGGAGGGAGGGAGGAGGAATGGGAGGGAGGGAGGGAGGGAGGGAGGGAGGAATGGAGGGAGGGAGGGAGATGGAGGGAGGGAGATGGAGGGAGGAGGAGGGAGGGAGGGGGGGAGGGAGGGATGGAGGGAGGGAGGGAGGAAGGGGGGGAGGGAGGGAGGGGAGGGGGAGGGGAGGGAGGGAGGGAGGAATGGGAGGGAGGGGAGGAGGAGGGAGGGAGGGAGGGAGGAATGGAGGGAGGGAGGGATGGAGGGAGGGAGGGAATGGAGGGAGGGAGGGAGGGAGGGAGGGAGGAATGGAGGGAGGGAGGAATGGAGGGAGGGAGGGGAGGGGAGGGAGGGGAGGGAGGGAAGGGAGGGAGGGGAGGGAAGGGAGGGAGGGGGAGGGGAGGGAGGGGAGGGAGGGAGGGGAGGGAGGGAAGGGAGGGAGGGAGGGAGGGAAGGGAGGGAGGGAGGGAGGGAGGGAGGAAGGAAGGGAGGGAGGGAGGGAAGGGAGGGAGGGAGGGAGGGAGTGTGGGAGGGGAGGGAGGGGAGGGAGGGAGGGAGGGAGGGAGGGGAGGGAGGGGAGGGAGGGAGGGAGGGGAGGGAGGGAGGGAGGGAGGGAGGAATGGAGGGAGGGAGGAAGGGGGGGAGGGAGGGGAGGGTGGGGAGGGAGGGAGGGGAGGGAGGGGAGGGGGGAGGGAGGGGAGGGAGGGGAGGGGAGGGGAGGGAGGGAGGGACACCTTAATATGTACTTCATATTTTGTAACTTTCTGAAATCTTTTATGTGACTGCTATCTGCTTTTGGAAAATGCTTCAAGAGAAAATTTGCATAAGGTAAAGAGGTCCAGACTTTGTCCTTCTGAGGCCTTGAGCTGTGTTAAGTGCAAAAGTTTCTATTTCATGAGACCCAAAGATGCAGTTTAGATCAGTATTCTAATATATAAGATAGTAATACATAAATGTGGCTATACCTTTCATATCTTCCAACTTGGTGTGAATTCTGATACTTGTCTCTGGAGGCGTGGGAGGTGGTGGAGGTGCTGGAGGAGTTGATGAAGGCGTTGGAGTTGATGTGGGTGTGTGGGTTGGTGTGTGGAGAACTTGTGATAAGGTGAGCCCACTGGCCACAGTGGAGGATGGTAGTGTGGATGGTGTTGGAGCTACCTGGATGACACTTGGTAAATTGTTGCAGCCTGAACTGTCATTGTTTGAAGGTTTCAGTGCTGCAGGTAAAATAATCTGGGGATACTGAACAACAGAAATCAAGAGATTAGAATAAAATAAATTAGGATGATGGATATAATTAATGCAAGTAGCTAGTATGAATTACTGTACAAAAAAAAAGAAGTATAAAAAATGTGAAATATCTTTTTATGAATTGTCATACTTTGTATGAAATGCAGTTTTAGCAGGATATTACTCTTCATAAGAGTAGAGTTCTTGAAAATTCTCAAAGACTGAAACTGTGATGAGAAGGGGGTTCAGGATTTTAGGCATCCAAACAAAAAAGATTTTACGTATTTTTCTTTTTACCTCAATATCCACTTTCCACTAAGGCAGGGTGACTCAAAGAACACAAAGAGTAATGGTAAACAGAGTATAGTCAGAGGCAGCTACACTAAAAAGTTCTTTTCCACAAGGTACAGGACAGTACCAAAATTTTTACTGATACTGATACTCAATTTGAGGCCAATACTCATACTAAATTTTAGTCTGGATGTCCAAGCTCCTCGCACACAAAACCTCCTAGGGCAAACCTTACCCTGCCTTCCTTCCACTACAGATTTATACACCCTCCAAGTCATCCTATTTTGCTCCATCCTCTCTATATGTCCAAACCACCTCAATAAACCCTCTTCAGCTCTCTGGATAATACTTTTAGCGACCCCACACCTCGTAATCTCCAAGCAACAAATTCTCTGCATAATATTTACACTATACACTGCGGAAAGCCATTTTTTTCCACTTATAAATGCCAGACAACAAGTTTACACTAACTTATATAAAGTCAGTAATAGAACTAGGCATTAAAAAACACAATAAAGAGTAAAATACACACACAGTACACTCATTACTTACCTTAATGTAGGGTGAGAAGTGAGTAGTAGTATTTATTTGTAGGAAGTCAGGTGTGGGAAGTATGGCAGCCAGCCAAGGCAGCCCACCCCACCCCACCCACACATAATATACGACATTTCGAGTACCCCAGAGCGATAAAATACAAACACAGTACATTCATTAATTACCTTAAAATATTTGTAGTCTTAATGTAGGGTGAGAGGTGAGTCATATTTATTTGTAGGAAGTAAGGTGTGGGAGGTATGGTAGCCAGCCAGGGCAGCCCACCCCACCCAACACCACCCCACCAACACGTAATGTAAACAAAAAGAAGCGTCTGCTTTTGGTGGATACACGTTCATTCCCATGTCTGTGAATCTTATATCATAATACAAACACATTACATTGTGTACAAGTTGTCTCCATGTTGAAACAGTAATATAAATAAAAAGGAACACTTCCATTCTCATGTAACACCATTTTTAGAAGAAATGACGTTTTGAGTGAAGGAATACGAAAGTAATAATTTTCTAGTACCCCCCAGTAATATTATAGTGTACACATTTTCTCTGATGATGGACTAGAGAAAACGTTATTCTTGCCGTCCCTCCTACAAGTCTCCTGGCTACCACGTCTCATTTTTATGTTAATTTATTCTACTGTGGGGTGTATTTATCAAGTTTATATGTTACATAGCGTGTTTATTATATAATTTTGAAAAAAATATCATAGATGGATTAATTGAAATGTCTACATTAACATAATAAACGACATTTAATGTGCCCAAGAGATTATTATTATTAACATGGTGTCAAGAGTAGAGAGACTCTTAGTGATTTTAATGTGTACCTGCACGCCAGCACAGTGTGTAAGCATATTTAGATACAGATACTACAGATAAGTATAATTATCAGACATTATAAAGAGATGTGCTCATGGAGAATGTAAACAAACTGTGTGGGGCGTGCCGTATAAGAAAGACGGATTGCCGTATACAGAGATTTAGTCATAATTTGAAATTGCCGTATTAATGGAACGCCATAAATCGGGGCCCTATTGTATATTATAATTACAGTGGACCCCCGCTTTACGATATTAATCCGTTCCCGAGAGCTCATCGTATGCTGAAATTATCGTAAGGCGAATTAATTTTCCCCATAAGAAATAATGGAAATCAAATTAATCTGTGCAAGACACCCAAAAGTATGAAAAAAATTTTTTTTACCACATGAAATATTAATTTTAATACACACAAACTGAAGAAGACATGCACAGTTAATACTCTATTAAGAATAGAATACATGACACTTGCCTTTATTGAAGATCTGGTGATGATTGATGGGATGGGAGGAGGGGAGAGTGTGGAAGTTGTTAGTGTTTAGAAGGGGAATCCCCTTCCATTAGGTCTTGAGGTATCAAGTCCTTTTCCGGGGTTACTTCCCTTCTTTTGATGCCACTAGGACCAGCTTGAGAGTCACTGGACCTCTGTCGCACAACATATCTGTCCATAGAGCTCTGTACCTCTCGTTCCTTAATGATTTGTCTAAAGTGGTTCACAACATTGTCATTGTAATAGTCACCAGCATGGCTTGCAATAGCTTTGTGAGGGTGATTTTCATCCATAAAGGTTTGCACTTCAAGCCACTTTGCACACATTTCCTTAATCTCTTTTCAATTCCATACTAGTTCTCACCCTTTTTACCACAGGGATGGCACTAGAAGCTTTCTTGGGGTACATGGTGACTTATTTTGCAGTTACAAGCACTAAAAACACTGGGATAATGTGAAATGTACCGAATGTATGCATAGATGCGACCACACTGGCTGGCTTGTAAACACTGGCGCTGAGGCCACAAGTGGGACGCGTCCTGGACGAATCACGTAAGGCGAGTTTTTTAGCGCGAGGTGAGGCAAAATTTTTGCGTTAAAATGTATTGTATGGCAGATTTAACGGAACGCGATGCCATCGTAAGGCGGGGGTCCACTGTATTTCAATATATAATACTCATCAATTTATGGAAATAAGTCACACTGTTTGACTATATGGCCAATATGCTGAAAAAATCCTACACTCCTACATACTTTTGGAATCCATAGAAGTACTACATGAATCATTACTTACCTTTTGTTTGAGTTCAAGTTGACACTGAAGGAAAAGTTGCTGTTGCTGGAGTAGTATATCATACGATGTTTCGGAGTGGCTTGTGTTAGATTCACGCTTCACAGCACTTGGAGGGCCCTGTATACAAGTAAGATGCTTAAAAGAGAGCATTTACTTTCACTTGTATTTAGTAGTTAGCAAATAATATCATTACATTAATATTATTATTAACATTTTCCTAGATGATCAGTGCTATTGAGTTATCTTGAAAATACTTTGAAAAATAATAGAAATATTTCCAGTATTATGTTGGCAAGATATTCACAATATGAATAACTGTAACCAAGAATTGTTTTTTCGAAAATATCTATTTAGATATAAATACAAACGTTCTACCTCCATGGAATTTCATAATTTATTATTAAAGTTTCTGTAAATAGATAGCCAATGCTTTGTAGAAATAATTTACCCATAAAATATCTTTGAAGTACTGTAAATTGTTCTCTGCAAATAGTCTGGTATAGTATGTGAAATGTGTGTGTTTGAATTAAGTCGGGGAGAAATCATTGTTTTGTTTTCTTTGTTGCTAATCACTAGGTTATGGCTATGCTCTGTGACCCACAAGTGTTCTGTATATAGTTTACATATATATACAATAAGTCCTCACTTAACATCGTCAACAGGTTCTTAGAAACTGTGACTTTAACCCTTTTGGTGTCTGTCCCAGTGTATCACGGCTTTAAAGACAGAGTTGGTCCCGTAGTATAACACCATGAACTCAGCTCACTTAGATGAACTGTGAGCTGTAAATTTGAGCCTAGATATGAGAGAATGGGTCTATGCAGCAAGTGTGAACCATATAAAAAAATCTTGCAGCACGCAGTGCGAATTGAGAAAAAAGTGCAACTATGTTTTTGGTTTAAAACAGCGACTTTGCAGTGTATTTTTGAATGGTTTTTATGATTATAGTCTCAGTTTCTTGGTCTCATTTGATAGAATGGAAGATACATTACAGAAATAGAGATGATTTTGATTAGTTTCAGGATTGAAAGTAGCTTCAAATTGAGCTCAAATTAGCAGAAATGTTCGATTTTTGCTGATATTCCAGAGTACGCAAATGACATCATTTGTCCAACAGGCGTCCAACTGACCAGTCTAATATGCATTTAAGAATGCACTGACATTATTTATACAATTATTACAATAATGCAGTAGTCTACATAACAGTAAATCTACTTTCTGTGTGAATAAAAATTCAAAATGAAAAGCAAGTGTAATGCTGATGTAATATACACAGACTTTGCAAAAAACTCTGACAAGTGCAATCATAGTGTAATAGTGCACAAAATCCATGCTAAATGGATAACTGGCAAAGAGGGGAGATGGACCTTCAACTTTCTAACCAATCGAACACAAAGAGAAGTGGTAAAGAGAGTTCCTAAATCAGAAGCTGCCATAGTGAAAAGCTCTGTACCACAAGGCACAGTACTTGCCCCCATCCTGTTCCTCATCCTCATATCAGACATAGACAGATGTAATCCACAGCACCGTGCCATCCTTTGCAGATGATACTAGGATCTGCATGAGACTGTCATCTATTGATGATGCACTTAACCTCCAAGAAGATATAAACCAAGTTTTCCAATGGGCAGTGGAAAACAATATGATGTTCAATGAAGACAAATTCTAACTACTCCATTAGGGAAAACTGGAGGAGATAATAATTAGAACTGAGGATGCTACAAACTCTAATCAAACAATAGAGCAAAATAATAATGTGAGGGAACTGGGAGTGGTAATGTCTGAGGATCTCACTTTCAAGGATCACAACAGTGCCATGATCACAAAATGAAGAAAATGATAGTATGGTTAATGAGATTGTTCAAAACAAGAGATGCCAAGCCAATGATGATCCTTTTTAAATCACTTGTTCTCTCTAGGCTGGAGTACAGCTGTACATTAACATCTCCATTCAAAGCACATGAAATGGCAGATCGGGAGAATGTACAATCTTTACTGTACATATAAGTTCCATCAAACACCTTAACTCTTGCGAATGCTTTGAAGCACTTGACTTGTACTCACTGGAATGCATTTAAGAGAGATATATCATAATCTTTTAGGTAGTAGGTTGGTAAACGGCAACTGCCCAGGGAGGTACTACCGTCCTGCCAAGTGAGTGTAAAATGAAAGCCTGTAATTGTTTTACATGATGGTAGGATTGCTGGTGTCTTTTTTTTCTGTCTCATAAACATACAAGATTTCAGGTATGTCTTGCTACTTCTACTTACACTTAAGTCACACTACACATACATGTTTTTTTTTTTTTCAACAAGTCGGCCGTCTCCCACCGAGGCAAGGTGACCCAAAAAGAAAATACTTTCATCATCATTCAACACTTTCACCTCACTCACACATAATCACTGTTTTTGCAGAGGTGCCCAGAATACAACAGTTTAGACGTATATACGTATAGAAATACACAATATATCCCTCCAAACTGCATATATATACACACCCCTCTGGGTTTTCTTCTATTTTCTTCCTAGTTCTTGTTTATTTCCTCTTATCTCCATGGGGAAGTGAAACAGAATTGTTCCTCCATAAGCCATGCGTGTTGTAAGAGGCAACTAAAATGCTGGGAGCAAGGGGGTAGTAACCCCTTCTCCCGTACAAATTACTAAATTTAAAAAGACAAACTTTCGTTTTTCTTTTTGGACCACCCTGCCTTGGTGGGATACGGCTGGTTTGTTGAAAAAAAAAAAAAATCATAATCTACACTTGGAAAATCCTAGAAGGAATAGTCCCTAATCTGCAAGTAGAAATCACTCCCTACAAAAGCAAAAGACTGGGCAAGCGGTGCAAAATAACCCCAATGAAAAGTAGGGGCACCATTGGTACACTAAGAGAAAACACAATAAGTGTCCAGGGTCCATGACTGTTCAACAGCCTCCTACCAAGTATAAGGAGAATTACCAATAGACCCCTGGCTGCCTTCAAGAGGGAGCTGGACAGATACTCAAAGTCAGTGCAAGATCAGCTGGGCTGTGGTTCATATGTTGGACTACATGTAGCCAGCAATAACAACCTGGTTGATCAGGCCCTGATCCACAGGGAGGCCTGGTTGTGGACTGGGCCAGGGGGTGTTGTTCCCTGGAACTTCCGAGTACTGTCATAGAAGCTAAGACATTGTGTAGCTTTAAAAATAGGTTGGTTAAATACATGAGTGGGCGTGGGTGAGTGTGAGCTGGACCTGACTAGCTTGTGCAACTAGGTTAGATTCCGTGCTCCTCCCTTAAGTGAATGTGACTGACCTGACTAGGTTAAGGCATTGGCCTAAGCTGGTGGGAGATTTGAACCTGCCCTGCATGGGCCAGTAGGCCTGCTGCAGTGTTCCTTTGTTCTTATGAATACCCTATAGGTAGACTCCAGGTAATATAAGAGGGGCCTGGAGACATGACTAAGTAGCAGAGGAAATGTTTATTTACTGCCATGAATGTCTACATTGTTTATTCTGAACCCTATTTTCAAACTGACAACTGCTGAATTTTGCATGAAATTGGCCAAATTACCAATTTCTGATCACTATATTGGATAGTTGAAATAGGTAAATGGGGAGTTTCTTGTACTTAATCAACAAAACAGAAGGAATACTAGTGAAATAGCTATGAGTCTGGTGGACTGGAACAATAGAGCTGGCCAAAAATAGAGTGCAAAGTGGGTGAAATTGCTGATGCATAAATATCGCCGAGACCGCAAACTTTGTGAGAATGTAATTCCATAAGTTTTCCATCAAATTTCGTATTTTTTTTTTCTGGAGTCTTTACTTTCAGAAAAAGATTCTCTATCATTTCGTTTGATAAAATATTTTTTTTTTTTTTTAATTTTTCAACCCTGATAGCAAGTTTGAGAGCAGAGGTATCAACACTGAAAGGGGTACGCGAAACGATATACAACAAAACCAATTTTACCATAGGCTAATTGATATGAACAAAACTTCCTGCTATCCATCGTCAAACCTCTTTAAAACTTCTAGTTTTGTTTCTAATGTTACACTTTTTCTCTGTTTTTGTGGCCACAGACATCAGGGGTGCACAGTGCACATTTAGTACCCATTGCAACAGGGTTAAGTCAAGGAACAAATGTTTGCAAAGCAAAAATTGTTAAGGAGCACCTTCTACCACTAGGCAGTTCAAAAACAAACAATAACAAATATGGCACACTCACTGAGCATTCTCATACTGCATGTTTATTGTTGTGCATTGGTATGATTATTGTATACTTTATGAATTTTTACACAAATAACCCAGTCAAGGTATTGTGTCTTATTGTTCTTCATGAATTTTTATTTTACATTAATCTGTATTCATTGTATTTGATTTTTTATCGTTATAATGAAACAATGTTGAATGAAATGACATTATTCAAGGACCTGCTGTATATACTAGGAAAGTGTATGAATGTGGCTATAAAGGTTTCTGGTCATCTCTCAACTGAACAAGTTATTAGTTACCCAATGTTTACAGGTTAAATTACCAATACAGTAATGACCCCATATCCATGGGGGATATGTTCCAAAACCTACCATGGATAGTAGTGAACCTTATATCTAAGTCATTTTTTGTTTACATACATTTTTTTTAGCATGTCAGCTGTTTCCCACTGAGGCAGGGTGACACAAAAAGAAAGAAAAACACCAAAAGAAAAAACTTTCATCATCATTCAACACTTTCACCATCATTCATACATAATCATTGTCTTTGCAGAGGCACTCAGATAGGGCAGTTTAGATGTCCCTCCAAGCAGCCAATATCCTAAACCCCTGGAAATATAAACACATATGCAGTATAATGTAATCCTTTATTGACAAGGTTTCGCCCACACAGTGGGCTTTTTCAAGTCACAAACAGATCTACCTGGGGTGGAAGGTACACGAGTATTTATAGTCAGGTTCAGAATGCTGAGGTCAGGTGGAGAATGCTGCATCTGATGATGTACCGAGTGGGGTATAGAGTCTAAAAACTCTATAACCCCACTCGGTACATCATCAGATGCAGCATTCTCCACCTGACCTCAGCATTCTGAACCTGACTATAAATACTAGCGTACCTTCCACCCCAGGTAGATCTGTTTGTGACCTGAAAAAGCCCACTGTGTGGGCGAAATGTTGTCAATAAAGAATCACATTATACTGCATATGTGTTTATATTTCCAATGTGTAGGTATTTTATACCATTTATTCCCATCCCAAACCCCTCCTTTAAAGTGCAGGCATTGTATTTCCCACCTCCAGGACTCAAGTCCGGCTAACCAGTTTCCCTGAATTCCTTCACAAAATATTACCCTGCTCACACTCCAACAGCTCGTCAGGTCCCAAAAACCATTCATCTCCATTCACTCCAATCTAACACACTCATGCACGCTTGCTGGAAGTCCAAGCCCCTCACCCACGAAACCTCCTTCACTCCCTGCCTCCAACCTTTCCTAGGACGACCCTTACCCTGCCTTTCTTCCCCTACATATTTATACGCTCTCCAAGTCAATTCCACTTTGTTCCATCCTCTCTAAATGACCAAACCACCTCAACAACCCCTCTTCAGCCCTCTAATACTTTTAGTAACTTCACACCTCCTAATTTCTATACTGCGAATTCTCTGCATATTATTTACACCACACATTGCCCTTAAACATGATTAAGGGCTATTTTTGAGCTATAGTAAACAGTTGATAACTGAAACCACATATACCGAATCCATGGATACGAGGGTTCAACTGTAGATGTTCAAGTGCTGTATGCTACAAAGTAACCTTAAATTTAACATTTTATTCTAATTTAAACAATGGTTTTGGAGCTTTAATTTTTTTTTTTCACAATGCTGTTATCTTCATAGATTTTGTACATAGAGAGATTCTGGAGTTGTCCCTGTCCAATACACTATATATATACATATTTTTTCAACAAACCAGCTGTCTCCTCCTCGAGGCAGGGTGACCCAAAAAAAGAAGAAACACTTTCACCACCACTCATTCCATCACAGTCTTGCCAAAGGGGCACTGATACTACAGTTCAAAACTGCAAATATTCTCACCCTTTCTTCAGAGTGCAGGCACTGTATTTCCCACCTCTAGGACTAACTGGTTTCCTTGAATCCCTTCATAAACATTACTTTGCTCATACTCGAACACCTTTTCCCAACATTCAAACATTCACTTCTCTGACAATCCCATCTATAAATATGCTAAACATCTGATTTAATACTGTAAATAACAATCAAGGTTTAATTTAGAAATAAATTTATAGAATAACCTAAAAAAAAAAAAAAATGCAGTTTGAGTGGTGAATATTTTCTCCTTGAGGTAAAACTACCTATATGAGAAACAGTAAATAAGTTAACAATATACTTATAATAGTAATTTTTTAATCTCCTCTTGCTTACCTTGTATTCATGAAATTTTATTGTTCTGGCTTTAGGCTGGCTTTTTCCTTTAGATTTCTTTCTGCTCTTGGACTGATCTTTTCCTGGAGCAGAATTTTGTAGGGGTGGTGTTGTAAGGGCATGAGGAAGAGGTGTTCGTGTCACAAAAAGAGTTTGGGTCAGAGCAGGGGCTTGAGGGGAAGGTAAAAGAGGGTGCTGAGGAGATGCTAAGGATGATAATGGGGACAATGATGAGGTGGTAGAGGTTAATGAGGGCGATGCGGCTGCTACATCAGGCACACAACAGATGGGTGCAGATGCTGCTGGTGTGACGGGTGGTGGTGGTGGTGGTGCTATTACTGCAGCTGGGGTTACTACTGAGGTTACTGTTGAGGCTTCCAACAGGATTGGGCTTGGTGATAGAAGCTCTCGCACTCCAGCAGCACTGCCAGCCTCACTTTGGTCTGGGGACATTGCACCCTCACTGCTTGATTCATCTTCATACTGCACATATAAACTTGGATGTTTTCGAGGCTCTCCTTCACTTGTGCTCTTGAACATCAGCTGCCCCTCTGTCAATGTATAAATAAATCTTAATATTAAACTACAAAATATCCTTGCTGATATAATGTAAAAGCTGAAGGAAATGTATTTAATATGCAACTAATAAATGTAAAACTGACATGGAAAAAAGTACTGAATTCATAAATATATTAATATTTTTGCTTGAACTCTAACAAATCAAAAGCTAAAATAAAATTTTAATATAATTACTGATGCTAGTTTTATAAACCTCATTTATCATAATCTGCAAGAACTTTGATGATGATAAAAAAAAAAGAAATATTAATAATGAGATTAAAGAAGATTTTACCTTTGACAGCTTTCTCAAGGTCTTCTGTGGTGTGAAGTATATTGGCTCTGACAAGTTCAAGGGGTCCTGGTCTCTGGCACAGGTGGTCACTAATGGCATCAGCTATCCTGGCACGTTTCAACTGTTTCTGCTTTTCTACCAAGGAAGGATCAATATTTCCAGGTGCATCTGTGGGTTAACAATATGAAAATATATTTAATAAAAGTTTAAGAAATACCTCTTAACATTATCCTGTAAATAATTTGAACAAAATTCTCAGTGAACAATTTATTAATTACTTACATTCATTAAGGTTAACTGGGAGTCGTATGTATATTCAGAAAATAAATTACATTTACTGATATATTTATTACAGATTTGTAACTCAATCAATCAGCAAAAAGGCAGCATGGAAAAATGTCCCTTTCTTAATGATTTTTATTCTTTCCAACACTTCTGTATTGTACACTAGTTAAGACACTCTACTACACTTTCCAACACTTCAATACTGCAAACTAGTTAAGACACCCTACCACACTTTCCAACACTTCAATACTGTAGACTAGTTAAGACACCTTACCACACTTTCCAACACTTCAATACTGTAGACTAGTTAAGACACCCTACCACACTTTCCAACACTTCAATACTGTAGACTAGTTAAGACACCTTACCACACTTTCCAACACTTCAATACTGTAGACTAGTTAAGACACCTTACCACACTTTCCAACACTTCAATACTGTAGACTAGTTAAGACACCCTACCACACTTTCCAACACTTCAATACTGTAGACTAGTTAAGACACCTTACCACACTTTCCAACACTTCAATACTGTAGACTAGTTAAGACACCTTACCACACTTTCCAACACTTCAATACTGTAGACTAGTTAAGACACCTTACCACACTTTCCAATACTTCAATATTGTAGACCACTTACATCACTCCAAGGAACTTTTAACATAACAAAAGATTCAATATTAATTATTACATTTAACATCATCAATCATACTGCAAAGCAATTCAAATGAGAAAAATATTTTAACATGGGTCATTCTGACTAGACTGGGAAGTGATGTAACTGACATACCTTAGTATTACCATAATTCTACTGGTTACTAACCCTCCAGGATGTGTTGTCGAACCAGCTCCTCTCGGTCAGGTCGCCGTTGCATTTTCTGTTTGAGGATGTCATGTTTTTTTGCCATGTCCAATTTTTGACGCTGCTCATAGAAGGCAGTTGGGGTGTTCTTTGCTGTGGATTTTTTTTTTTTTTTACAATACAAGGAGATAAAAGATTGCATCCTCTAAAATTCCTAGCCTGAAATACTACAGTAATAGTGTTTAAAAACCTTTTAATGAACATTTGAATATGCCTTTAACTGATGAAGTATAAAAAGACTAGATAGTTCAAATTTTGTGGTGTATAATTAGAAAATAAAGACAAAATTCCTTTAGAAATTGTAATTCTGAACCAAACACTTCTCACTATCAAAGGAAACATCTATAACAGGATAATGTATATAGCAGTGACAATAAAAAGAAACAAAATTTTAATTTCTAATTATATTTTAAAATAAAAATATTACCACTGGCAGACCTATAAGACAAAAAAAAAAATGTGTGGCTTAAGTATCATATTCTTTCTTTCAACACACCGGCCGTATCCCACCGAGGTGGGGTGGCCCAAAAGAAAAAATGAAAGTAAGTATCATATATCATATAATAAATAAATGAATTACTGGCCCACACCATTTGTTGTATATTATTTTTTTTTTTATTTTACCTCAATACTTATGTTCCTTCAAGGCTGGGTGAGCCAAAAAAGAAAACACATTCAGCATCATCCATTCAATTGCTGTCTTTCCAGAAGTGTGCTGGCATCACAATTCAGACTGCCCTCTGACTGCAACATCCCCAAACTTCCTAGAGTGCACACACTGCCCTTGCCACCAGTCCAGTTAACTGGTTTTCCTGAATTCCTTCATAAAAGTTACTTTGCTCACACTCCAATAGTGAGTCATTAAAAAACCACTTTCCTCCATTCACTCCTATCTAACAAGCTCACAAAAGCCTGCTGGATGCTGAAGCCCCTAAAATTCAAAGCTTTTTTCACCCTCCTCTCTCCAAGAGTTCCTGGGACAACCTCTACCCCTCCAACTTTCCACCTCAGATTTATACGCCCTCTTTGTTATCCTATTTCCCTCTACTCTCTTTACATGCCCAAACCACCTCATCAACTTCCCCATCCCTCAGTCCACTGAATTTTACTCATGGAAACTATGCACACACACTGCCAATCCTTTTGTACCTTCTCTTCCTTCATGCATATATTTAATAAAATCACTATCTCCACTTGATTGTAAATTATTCTGGAAGTAATGAATGCTCAACCCTAGTAGTGAGAAAATACTCACGTGGGATGACACCGCGGTTCACAAGATCCTCCCGGGGTCGTCTTAACATGAGCTTCACTTTTAGAGCTGTAATGATACAAATATATTAGCACAGTAAAAACTTCATAATAAACTGTAATTCTTTATTTAATGAACTATAAATGTAAAAATATTTATAGTACTCATAAGGTGAAGATGACTAGGCATTAGTATAGTAATAAGAGATATCAATAGTAAGTTTCGTAATTCATGTTTAAGCTAGCTAGTACGTATATGTTTTCCTCCTAAGCAGTGATTTTATGTACTGTAAATTCAAAATAAGTCTCAACATAATAGATTTATTGCTGTTTTTATTTAATCCAGCATTAACTGTACAAACAATTTATTTACAAAATAAAACTGAATTTCTGTATAAAATATCAGAAAATATATCTGAATTGAACAGCAAACTTATTCAATATATTCATGAAACTAAGTACAGTAGTACCTCGAGTTACGAACTTAATTTGTTCCAGAAGGCCGTTCGAGTGCCGTTACCGAGCGAATTTGTTCCCATAAGAAATACATAATGTAAATTAGTTTAGTCCGTTTCCGACCCCCAAAAATACACCTACAAAAGCACTTACAAAAATACACTTACATTGTTCGAGTTGGGAGCTGTTCAAAACTTGAGATATCACTGTACTGATATCAAGAGAATGAGACTTAAGACTGTAGTACAACCACTTTATTAAATCCCTCTCTCAAATCAGGTTTTCATTACGAACACTAATTCATTTCCATGTAATGCTCTCTACGTAAGATAAATATTATACGGCATATGAATATATACAAAGGAAAAATTATTACATTAATAAATGATGCAGATAACATCATGACATCCAGTTTACTAATACACTGAAAACTTAAAACTGACATACTTTATCACTGATATTTTGCCAAATATTAGATACTTTACAAGTGTCAAGTCTTACCAGTATTGTATGGCTGTAATGTGGAGGTGCCTGGGGATGCACTTTCAACACACCTGTTTAATGGGTCATACACCAACTGCCAGAAGCTTACCATATTGAAATAATAATAACAACACTGTCTTCTTTTCTATTTGTTAAAAATATTACAAGTAGCTGCAAATGTTTCCAATATTCCCAGCAACTATGTACTATGATTCTCAGTCTGACATTGACAACAGCTGTACAAAACAAACATTTAAAGGGAGCTGCCATGAACGCAACAGTATCTCACACTGTTGACAAAGCTTTCCTCAGGTACAAATAAAAAAATTTCATATATGTACATATTCACTTTTCTTTTTGTACTGCCTAAATACTTAATATAACTTCAGTTCTCTCAAATATAGAACACTGAATGAAGGCTATTAAGCGATTGGGTAACACAGCATTTAAATGTGCTTGTGTTCAGTAGTAACACTGTAACAAGGTGAATCAAGACAGAGCGTCGTATGAGACTAGCTGGCTGAGACCACAGGAAGGAAGGCAGATTACACCAACCTCAATATCTCCCTCCTAAATTCTGAACTCCAGATTATTTGTTCTATACCATCTTATACAATTATATTTCAATGTATTAATACTGCATAATGGTTTAAAATTAAATAGAACAAGCTTAAAAGTATTACATAATGAAGAAATATTCTTTTATATCTCATGGGATGCACACTACACCTTTGATATACCTTTGATAAGTTCTGAGAGTTTTTCTACTCCCCGAGCCTGGCCTTGGGCTGGGTGGGGAAGGGGGGATGCACATACTCTCCTAAATGTGGTTGCAGGGGTTGAGTCACAGCTCCTGGCCCCATGTGTGTGCATGTGTATGTGTGCATGCACTCAGTGATTCTCCGATCCTGGCCCTGCCTCTTAACTTGCCATTCTTCAGATTTGCTCCCTTTTAGCCTCATGGGCCCTATCATACCTGCTCTTAAAACTATGTATGAAGTCTGCCTCCACCACTTCCTCATTGAGATTATTCCAATTCCCGGCCACTCTGAAACTAAAAAAATACTTCTTGTGGATCATTTGTGTCTAACTTCCAGCTGACAACCCAAGCACCTCTCAAACAGCCTGTCTCTATCTGTCCTATCAATTCCTCCAAGTTTCTGATACGTTATGTCTTCCCTGGTTCTTCTGTCCTCCAATGTCATTAGATTCAGTTTCATTAGCCACTCTTCATAATGATTATCTTTATTTCTACAAGTACATGATACAACTTATACAAACCTAGCCGACATCAATGACATATTATATAGAAAGCCACTGGTTATGCAAAGCATTTTGGGCAATTTAGGTTAATTTTGTTCCCAGGATGTGACCTACACCCAGGTACCTACTTACTGCTAGGGGAACAGGAACAACACATGTGTTAAGGAAATATACAAAATTTTTCCACCCATACTGAGGATCTAACCACAGACTGCAATGTGTGAGCTCTTTAGCTCTGAAACAAGCCTTACAGCATATTCCTACACTTTCCTGATAAGCTTTATCAGGTTCCATGGACCTGATATATATTATATAAAGGTCCACAAATGATTCTCTTTTGAGATTTCTGAAGGCTATTCTTAGATTTTATAGATAAGCATTGGCTGCAGAAGCTATCTGATTGATATGAGCCTCTGGCAAAATGCTAGGGACAATGCTCATCCTTAGGTTTTCCTCTTTAAGCAAGGTCTGTAGCCTATCCCCAGAGTCTATATGCAGTGTCCAGTCTTCTGGTTCTTTTGCAATCTTCGTAACTTTGCATTTGCTGAGACTAAATTCAAGCAACCACTTAAATTACCAATATTGCAGTTTATCCAAATCAATTTGCAGCCTCTCCTTATCCTCATTAGCTTTACATCATCAGCAAACAGGGATACAACCCCATCTTATATACAATTCACACAAACCAGAACAGTAGGGTACTAATACCAATCATCGCAAAACCCAGCTTGTAATTCTTCTCCATTCCGACATCTCTTCCCATATAATCACTCTTTGATTCCTTTCCCTAAGGTACTCTGTGATCTACCGGAGTGTAGATGATACTATACTCACACTTATAGTACGACACTAGAGTAATAAAGCTGGTGTAATGTTACTTACATTCTTTGTTTTTATTGAGAGTCTTGCCTTGCAGTGGGGAGTCATCCACCTCACACTTGGGTGGTGAGAGGGGAATGAAGGGGGGCTGAGACCCCTCTCCATTACTACCATCCGCCATCTTGCTTAGGTCGTTCAAATTGCAATCCTGGAAAAAAAAAAAAAAGATTGGACAATGAAGATGTGTATAATGGATAAAATTGTTTACTTTAACTCTTAATAAAAAAATTTATTCTTCAAGGTACAGAGGGCCCCGCTTTACAGTGCTTCATTTTATGGTGTTTTACTAATGCGACGGTTTTCAAATTTACCCATTCTTACTATAACAAATATATTCCCCACTCATTATAAGCTAAGGACGAAAACATTTTAAGGTAAGTAATGCGGGTACTGTACATGCATTTTTTTAGTCCTAGCTCCATTGCTCACTTATTACATGATAGTGTAAACATGCTATCAGGTTTTTATATGCATTTGAAAGTGATAAAATTTTATATGCATTTGCAAGTAATAAAAGGCTGTTTCACTTTACAGCACTTTTCACATCAGTAGACTGGAACCTAACCTGCTGTATAAGTGGGGCCTGCCCTTATACTGAATCTGATTGGCATACTGTATTGTAAGGGAGGGTCCTGCTTATATGGCAGGTTAGGCTCCAGGCTAGTGCTGTTAAGCAAAAATAGCCATAAAGTGAATCATACTTTTTTTTCACTTTTAAATGCATATACATGCCTGATAGCATGTTTACACTATCGTATATTAATTAAATTAGCAGTAGAACTAGCATAAAACAATAAAAAGTAAAATGCACATTCCGTACACTCATTACTGACTTTAAATATTTGTACTCTTAATTTAGTGTGAGAGGTGAACATTAGGAAGTCACATGTGGCAGCCTGCCCAGCTACCACACTTTACAATTATGTTTGTTTTACCATGATTGTATATATTTTCTTTATATGATATATAGCATATTTCTTATATAATTTTGAAAAAAAAAAAAATTAAAGTGCCCTGGAGAGATAATTATTATTATTATGCTTATTGCCATCGATATACCTTGTTCACCAAGTTTAAAGATGGATTAATGAAAATGTCTATAATATTGTAATTTATGACATTTAAAGTTGCCCACAGTGATTATTATGATTATTATTATGCTTATTGCCATCGGCATACCTGCCAACAGTGATACATGTGTAGTAGTAATTCAAATACCATTTATACTTAGCTTCACTTGCTAGCCATGATGTCATGAATTCCCGTGCACCCTGCGCATGCACCACTAGTGAACAGAGTCGGTTACCCTCAGGCTAAGGAGACGTGGACAGGCTGGGCTTCATCAGTTATTTACCCAACATATTGCCCTGTATAACAGCCTACAGCATGTCTCCTTCACCATCACTCTATTATTTACGAACCCAACAAATGGTGGCAGCTCTGGGCACGTAATTTGTTGAATTACCGGTGATGTAACAAGTTATATGCTACCAAGACTGGCAGCCATTATGTGCCCAGCTACCCCATCTCATATTTATGTCAATTTGTTCTACTACAGTTGTATATACGTATTATGTTTACATGATATGCAACGTGCTTCTTATATACTGTAATTTTGAAAAAATATCATAGACGGATTAATGAAAATGCCTATAATAATGTAATATACGACGTTTAAAGTGCTTCAGAGTGATTATTATTATTATTATTACAGTATTATTATTATTATTATTATTATTATTATTATTATTATTATTATTATTATTACTATTGCGTCTTCAACACTAGTGCAACACTCTTAGTAATTCTAATGTGTGCTTTTACACCAGCACAGTGTGTAAGTTTATTTAGGTACAGGTACACATAAGTACAATTATCAAAGTAGTATATATAAAATAACATGGAGTTCATGGAGGATGTATACAGAGTGGTGCATGGATGCCATAACAGTGAATCACTGAGCTGTATAAAAAATTTTTTGTTAGCATTAGTGAATGTCAGTACAGCCTCTCCTCACTTAGCGACGTACTACTCGTTTACCGACTGTTCGAACTGAAAACTAGCTCTCCAGCCAGTATGCAAACCTAAGTAATGTACATTAGAGCTGATTTCCTCTACAGTGTATTCTGTTATTACAGTATACAGTACACTACTGTATCAACATTTAAAAAATACATGGAGCATGAGATGTATCCAGAGTGCGCAATATGTAAGTGTATCCTGACTGTAAAATGTTTTGTAGCATTAGTGATGTCGGGTCTCCCAAAGGACTACATCTGACTTTCGAACTGAAAACTAGCTCTCCGCCATTATGGAACCAAGTAATGGTACAGTAGAGCTGATTTCCTTGAACAGTGATTCTGTATGAATTAAAGTATCAGTTACACCGTATCACTGTAAAATTACTAAAAATGTTATAAATGGTGCAAAGGTGACATTCAAAAAATATCTAAAGATGGTTGATACAAACTCACTACCAGTACAGTATGCTCCTTGCTTAACAACCAATTCGCTTACCAACCTACTCTTAGTTAAGGAACCCCTGTCTTTAAGTGAGGAGAGGCTGTACATATTAGTGAATCGCCTTCTGTACTTTAAAATATGCAAATTAGAAGCACATATATTACATATTCAACACAAATTAAATATTTTTTATAACTGAATTTAAAATATTTTTCTGTAAAAGTATTTCCTATAATTTCCTTTGAAGGCAAATATAGCAGACTCCTGTCTAATGTCTATAATAAAACCTAGGATTCCCACTTAACCCTTTGACTGTCGCAACCCCCAATCCTGAGGTGTCTCCTGGTGTCGCAAAATTTAAAAAAAAAAAAAAAAAAAAAAAAAAAAAAATTATTTTTTCTTATGAAATGATAGAGAATCTTTTCCCAATTGTAATGACACCAAAAAAACGAAATTTGATGGAAAACTGACGGAATTATGCTCTCGCGAAGTTAGCGACCTCGGCGATATTTACAAATCGGCGATTTCGCCCACTTTGAGCCCTATTTTCGGCTAATTCCATTGTTCCAGTCGATCAAACTCATAGCTATTTCTTTAGAACTCCATTTTTTCTATCGATTGAGTACAAGAAACTGCCCATTTACCGATTTCAACTACCCAATAATGTGGTCAGAAATTTGCAATTTGGCCAATTTCACGAAAATTAAAAAATATGACAATTTCAAAATAAGGTCCAGAATGAACAATGCAGACATTCCTGGCTCTAAAATAACATTTTCTTTGTTCATCAGTCATGTCTCCAGGCCCCTCTGATATTACTCTTGCTTTCTATTTTGAATTTTTATTCAAACAAAAAATAGAAGACTTACTATTATGCAGACTACTGCAATACTGTAATAATTGTATAAATAACATCAACCCATTCATGACTGCATATTAGAATGGCTAGTTGGACATTTATTGGACAATGACATCATTTGTTTACTTTTGAACATTGGCAAAAACCAAACATTTCCCCTACTTTGAGCTCCATTTCCAGGTTCTTTTTATAGTAAAATCAATCAAAATCATCTCTATTTCTATAATATGTTTTTCATTCTATCAAATGAGACCAAGAAAATGAGAATACTACAACCATAAATACTATATGAAAATAGACCACAAAGTCGGCATTTTAATTAAAAAAAATGGCCGGAGTTTCTTTTTTCTCATTATGCACTGCGTGCTCCAGGATTTTTTTTATATGGTGCACACTGACCACACAGACCCATTCTCTCACATGTGGGCCTACCAGCTTTCTCCTGCTTGATTTGACGCTGCTAGAATTTATGAGTATATATACGTCAAACACGGTACCTCGTAAGACGTATATATACGGCCGCGACAGTCAAAGGGTTAACCCACTGAGTGTCTAGACCCCAGCTCACAAACATTGCTCATAGTGTCAAAAAAAAAAAAAAATATTAAATGACAATCTTTTTTCTGAAGGTAATGAAATCAAAACTATGAAATTTGATGGAAAACTTATGGAATTATGCTCTCAAGAAGTTGGCAGTCTTGGTGATATTTATGCATTGGAGATTTTGCCCACTTTGAGCCCTATTTTAGGCCAATTCTTTTGCTCCACTTGACTAAACTCACAGCTATTTCACTAGAATTCCTTTTATTCTATCGATTGAGTACAAAAAACTACCCATTTACCTATTTCAACTACACAAAAAAGTGTTCAGAAATTACTAATTTGGCCAATTTCACACAAAATTCAAGAAAGGCCAATTTCAAAACTGGGCTAGAATAAACAATGCAGACATTCCTGACACTAAAATAACATTTTCTCTGTTCATTAGTTCCGTCTCCAGGCCCCTCTTATATTACACTTGCTTTTCATTTTGAATTTTTATTCACACAAAAAATAGATGATTTACTGTTATTCAGACTACTGCATAATTGTATAAATAATATCAGTGCATTCGTGAATGCATATCAGACCCACCAGTTGATGCGTATTGGATGCATGATGTGATTTGTTTACTCTTGAACACAGTCAAAAATCTAACATTTCCGCTAGTTTGAGCTCAATTTCAAGCTACTTTTAGCAAATAAACCATTCAAAATCACCTTTACTTCTGTAATATATCTTCCATTCTATCAAATGAGACCAAGAAAACGAGAATACAGTGGTCCCTCAATAATCGTCCGGCCTGAAAGTCGTCCATTTCGGAAATAGTCCCGTTTTTTCGTCTAAATATTGGCTCGCAAATGGTCAGGTAACTCGCTAATAGTCCTTCGTCCGGGACGCATACTCACGCTCTGAGCCGCCTGGGCCTTCTCTTCCCAGCCAGTGTGCCATTGTTTACCAGTGAGCGATGGTCCCCTCACGTGCTCCAGCAAAATATTTCATAATATTCCATTTATTTTAGTGCTTGCAAGTGCTAAATAAGCTACCATGGCTCCAAAGAAAGCGCCTAGTGCCAAGCCTTTGGTAAAGAAGGTGAGAAATACGATTGAATTTAAGAAAAACATCATTGAACAATATGATAGTGGCGTACGTGTGGGCGAACTGGCCAGGATGTATAACAAATCCCGTACAACCATATCTTCCATTATAGCCAAGAAAAAGGAAATCAAGGATGCTGTTGTTGCAAAGGGGGTAAATATGCTGACAAAAATGAGATCACCAGTACT